GCCAATAAACCCGAGCGTACGCAACCAGACTCCTAGTGCTTTGATGGGTGAATAAGCCAGGATGCTCGTTAAGTTTGTGTTATCATCTCACAAGAACGTCACACCAGTTACCAAGGTTATTCTGAATCCACCAATGCGGTGCGACCGTATTACTCATGCCCAGGCTTCATCTCCTGGGGTATTTCAGTCGTAATAACAAATTTAGAAAGGGTTTTTGACTGTCGTCTCCGGGTGTATCCTGCGAACACAAACGTATTACCGGTCGTGGCTTCTCGTGGAGAGAAGCGACGACCGTAAATACATCTGTGTTCGCAGGCTACTCCGAGCGTTGCTTCTTGCTTAGTTTCTTGGGAGAGATACACGTACCCATTACACGCGCTTGGCTTTGCCTATTACGCTTTATACGCCGAGAAGAGCCGTACTTACCATGGGACGAGGTATTGCTTGTAATAATAATAATAATAATACTAATAATCCTCAGAAAGGTGCTCAGTGTATGAACAGAATGATTGACTTGAGTGACTGACGCTCTAGGTGCATGGTTTGCGCCCGGCTAATGCACAAAAAGAACACCAGCAGAGACTGTGATAAAAGAGGTAATAATAATAATAATAATAATAATAATAATAATGAAAAAAATTTTATTGACAACAATACTAACTATTAAAATCCTATTTACAAATAATTCGCTTAAAAAAAAAAGAAAAAACTATTCATTCAAAAACACTATTTACAATTCCTGTCGATTTAAAAAGCACTTAATTTAGCTTAAAAAAAACGTTAATTTAACTAAGAAAAATTTTTTCGAATTAAAAACATTTCATTTCAATAAAAAAAACTGTCAACCTCTAAAATTCAAAAGTTTCTTTCAACTGCTAAAAACAAAAACAAAAATAGTACTAATAATGAAATAAAAAAATATATATGAAGTAAGGAAACACATCAATAGTCCGATTTAATGGCTCCTTCAGCAACTTCGACGTCGATAATAATAATAATAGTAATAATAATGATTTGGAGGTAGCACATCCACAAAGTGGTTCTTCGTCTTCCCCATTCCTGGTCGAATTGGAATTTGGAAAAGTTGGTTTTTGAGAGAGGGGAAAACCGGAGTACCCGAAGAAAAACTTCTTGGAGCAAAGGAGAGAACCAGCAACAAACTCAACCCACATATGGCGTCCACGCCAGGATTTGAACACGGGCCACATTGGTGGGAGGAGAGTGCTCTCACCACTGCGCCATCCCTTGCTCCCCATGCTTGTGGTATGATCATGTGATCATGTGGCAACATGTCTCGTGGACCGGCCAAAGAAAACTTAGTTACGTAATCATTTAATAGTTCGGTTAGGTCCTCTCAAACATCACTTTTTGTTTCAGGTTTTTAAAATTACTCTCCGTACATCTGTTTTTGTTCAGCTATTTTATAATAGCTTTTCTTTTAACTTTTTCGAATTATTTTCAGATGACGTTTCAAGCAAAATATAGACTTAATTACTCGTTCGATGCAATCAAAACAAAAACAAAACAAACAAAAGAGCGGATAAGACACATGCAACACTACTTCATCGATCGCCCATTGAAAACATACGCCAGTACTTCAAAATCGTCCACTGGCTCTTTCTCGAGCGCAGTAAGTATAGTGCCGATTAGGAAATCTGGATTTATTTGAAGTACGCGGATTGCGGATTGTGCAATAAAACGCAAAATCTGAAAACAGATTTCAGATAGATTTCAATAAAAAAAAAATCGTAATCAAGACTTTGTCGGTTTTTCGTCTTTACTGTTTTATTTTTAAATCCGAGTTTGCTAGGCCCTTTTTTCTGCTAATTACGTGTGCGCGTTGGAAACTGCAGGGTCTTGAGAAGAGATTTTTAAATCCTTTTTCGGATTTCCCAGTAAAACGAAAAGAAAGGAAATCCAAGGATATATTTCCCCGCATTCAAATCTAAATCCAGATCACCCAAACAAACACCTGGCGAATTGAGAGCGCATTAAAAAAATGCTTCATATCAGTTCCAAACAGGAGCACTGATGTAAACCTGGTTCCAAACACTGGGAGGACTTCCGAGGGGAAACATATTCAATATTCTTTAGTAAGAGGTGTAGATCTGTATAGTTACCCAGTATAGTATTTATTGCTAATAAGGTTAAAGACTGCATGTCTCATTGCAATACTCAGCAGTGAGCCAGAATTCTCATCTTTTAACTTACAGTGCGACCTCTGTAACCGGGGCCGTTTGTCTACAATAGGTGGCTCCGGTTACTACAGTAGTCGCAACAGCCTGTAAAGAGTACGTACAGTCTGCCTACTGGTATCGTAGGGGTAAGCAAAGGTGTAGCCGCACTTACGGACAAAGCCACAGGTAAATAATCTCTACTAGTGCACCAGTGGAAACGGCGTATGATCAAAGTCTCTAATAGACCTTATTCACCAGACCCAGCATTTTTGCCCGCGCTTAAGGACTGATGGGATAAAAGCAATGTCACGTGGTTTCGCAGTGGGAAAAATTTCTGATGCAAGAAATCGCGGTCGAGTTTGTTTATTCTGGACAACAGAAAATGAACTTTTCATATTGAAGACGATAATAGCAACTTATCGGTGGAGTGATCATTCTTTCTTCTTTCGATGCAGTAGCGACCGTACTGCAAGCAATTATGACGTAAATTTTTGTCAAAACGCGAACTGTACACTTTGCCTAAGACAAATCAGAAATATGAAAGGGAATTCACAGTCCTTCGTTCACAGAACAAGCGTAGTCTGAAACTGCCGAGAGGATAGGCCACTTAGTAGTTCCAAAAACCCTCACCGTTTCTGAGCGAGGCCAAGTGCACAACCTTTCTCAGCTCAGTGCCAGTTGTGAAAATGAGTTTTATTTGCATGAGAATGAAAAATCATTTCTACATCAAAGGCTGAGCACTTAACCTCGTTTTCCAGAAAACAGTGGCGGATTCATTCATTGTAGCTCGTTTCAAACAAAATGTTTTTTTTGTCGCAGGTTTTAACTTCCAACAGGTTTTATGGGGCCACAAGTTCTGTTTGTTGAACTACGGGGTCTAACATGTCTAATGGCTTAGAGCGGCCTCATTCGGTATAATGAGACAGGACAAAGGATTTGGGGATTTTCGAAAATAAATGAATAACTAAATAATCGGGATTGCGGAATCGAGAACAATATTTTTTGGGTTTGACGGGATTGAAAGCCCTGCGGACGCGCTAGGGATTGAAGAACCCTGCCGGGAAATGAGGTCATGAATGGCGCTCTGAAACACCGGTCAAACAAAAAGTATCTGAAAGCGACATAAAATTAAACCAGTAGAGGATCATTTACCGTGATTGAAGAAGCGTCGTAGTGCGATATGCTTTCGAATACAGCGGCCTTGCACGGTCGTTTCTCGTCGCTGGGGACGTTTCGCGATTGAGGTTAACGAGCTTGCTTAGCACGACGGCGACGACAGCGAAAACGTCACTTACGTTCGCACAATTTAAAAATTCATCGCAATTATGCCATTTCGTTTTAATAGGAGTAACAGAAGGATTCATAATAGGAGCTTAGTAGAGGTAGGAGAATTATTATTCTGCATGGAGCTGAATTCTTACTGACCGTCGCCAAGATAATAAAAAATAAAAATACAATCTTGACGCTCTTCATAAAACGGGAAATTATGACTCATTCCATAAAGTTTCGCCATAGAAGTCATAGAAATACGCCAAGAGTACGATGGACGTGAGGAGTTGCTGCTTTGCGGGTAATTTTCTCACGAAAAATATTGCTTTCCCCTTGCCGTCACTGTATAAGCTCCCTGATCGCCCTGTAAACTGTCCTGTACATTCTGAATAGCGAAACGTCCAGAGTAAACAGCGAACCTTTTAAGTTTCAACAAATTCGAGGAGGTTGCTGAATTAACAGGCTCGGACGGTCTTACAATTAAAAAAAAAAAAACATAATGCAACACAAAAGAACATGACGGCAATTATTTTTATGATTGTTTAACTGACTTCTGTCATTTCATCTCACATCTCCCACGGCAATACTGGTTTCAGGTTTAAAATCTCATTTCGTACAGTTATTGCCCAAAATAATTTACTATTTTTAAAATTATCTATATGGCTGATAATAGGAATAAATTTATTTTTCCGTTGTTCTTTGTCAAATCTTATAATTAAGAACCGCATGGTTGCTCTGTCTTAAACCATTAGCTCGACCATTTAAACTAAAGCCTACAAGTAGAATTCTGAGGTGCGAGTCAGTAATTTTTCAACTGTATTTACAATATTTAAGATTAATTTTTTTTGTATTCTCAGCCATTCCAAAACTGGAGTATTCCGGTCATGTCTGATTTTAGCTGAATAAATAATTATTATATCCACCTGACATCTGCCTTTTAAACAGGAAAAACCTCACCACAATGTGGGCAACTTTTTAAATACGCACTTTGCAAACATAAATAATATACGGGTGGAAGGCAAAAAGAACAATTCGCATTACCACATAATTCTGGGGACTAAATTTGCCATATCTAAGTGCCAAGTTTGAAGACTTGTAGTCCGTTTTAAAGATTTCTTCCGACAGATAATATTTTATTCATCTCAGTTTTGAATTATATTTGCTAAGTTCCACCCTCAGCGAACACGGTTTTAATAATATAGCTTTCTAAATACTGCCTTGTCGGTCACTATTGCTCCTAACCCACGCTTGAGTTTGCTTCTCTAAGGTATTAAAACAACCGTTCACACCTCGCATATTAACGTTTAGATGGATTGCCTTTTCTACTGGTTTGTGTTCGGGTAGTCGAAGTTCGTACAGGCCATCTCCATGATCGGAGCTAAATTCAAACGGCGATACCCGATGCTTTCGTCCAAGTGATGTTAGACGGTAGGCTTGTGACGCGTCGGGCTTACAGAAAACCCTCTTGCATCCCTGCCGAAAATCCCCATTGAATAGGGCATAAATTACGACATTTAACGTCGCATTAGAAAATGAAAGTAACAACAAGGCTATGTACAAGTGCCCAGTCCATGTGCTTCTTTTAAACGTCCACAGAACAAGGCTGAAGAAATAAGGGAGGCAGCAGCTAACGAACACAAGCCATTGCAAAAACAACATACGAAGAACTTTGACTTTCGAACGCGGAACGCGGAATGTCTGTCTTCTAAAACTGTTCGGGTAATTTTGAGCGTGACGATTTCTGGTGATGACAGCATATGTGATCCGTGTGTACATGACCAGGGTGAATAATAAAGGAAAACAAAAAGCACAAACGAAAAACAGCACTACATAGCCTTTCCAGTAAACTGAGGAGAAATTAACGAGACAGAACTCAACGTCCGGTGACTGATATTCTTGTGATTCGAAGAAGGATAAGGCCGGTGCAGAAAGTGATTCGAAGAAGAATAAGGCCGGTGCAGACAAACAAACCATGAAAATACACACATATATGATGAGTTTCTTAGTCTGGGAACGACTCATTTTAAACTGCAACGGATGCACTATAATGTAGAACCGATCGAGTGAAATACAAGCGAGAAGACCCGCTGAAAGTCCAGCGTTCAAGAATTGGAAAAAGAAAGTCACTTTACAGGTTGCGCTGTGGAACAACCACGAACCTCGCATGACCCAGATTATTGTCCACAGAACACACATAAACGGAATCGTCAAGTTCGATAATCCTAGAGTTAATACAAAGTAGTTTGTCGTCCATTCGCTTCGTCGACTCCGTTGAATTACGAGCAAGATGAGTCCGTTGCCGATCAAAGAACCCAGAAACATTGTCAACAACACAAGTGTTTCTACCACAACAACCGGCGAGAAGCCACATGCTGAAGAGTAGACTAGATCGGAGCAGTTTGACATGGCAGTCGAAGCCGCCAAATTTTCTTTGGTGGCCTTGCCTCATGTAAATAAACCACGGGTGTAAGATACACGTCGGTTATAAAGCGTTCCATGTATCCAATGTTTCTTTTGTTTCGAGTGAATCGTTGTACACTTTCATCCTATTCAACAAAAGTAGCTGATGTCGTGTCTCTTCAATGTCGTGTTTCGTCAATTCCCAAGCGTACGTTCTTTCTTCTATTCACTTCACGAAACCTTTTTCCATAGGTCTCTCGTCAAATGCAAATTTGTATCTGCATGCAATCGGATATCGAATGTTGTTTTTGTCGATATGTTGCCATGGTTTCCACACATCCGTCACTCAGATTTGACTTAATTAAACGAAAAGAACTTTTTTCTCTTTTTGATGGGTGATATAATTCAGATGGTTATAAATGCAAACTGAACAACCACAAAAGAGGAAACAACGCTTTTAAAAGCACTTTTCGGAGGAGTAAAATGTCTTAGCTAACTAACCCCGACAGGTGATACAGAATTTTGCGAACCGTTTAAGTCATCGCTCAGAGGAAAAAAATTCGAGAAGCAAATGAGTCGGAGTCTTGCGAATTTGTTTTTTGTTTTACTAAAACGCGTTCAACGAATCATGGCAGGAAAATCGATCTACTTCGATAAAGCGAAAAATGTCATATCAGTGCAATGTACGTGTGTATGAAAACATGATTATTCACGGATTATAAGTCACATATCAATCAAGTGTTTTGTTTTAGCCATCTGTCAGTAATATAGGTGAAATGTAAACAACATGGGGTTTTTTCCAGGCTTTTTCTCCAAGGGATTTCGTTCCACAAAATGACTGCAGCCGATTTAATTTCTATAAAAATAGAATAATATCATGTACAAGAGTACCTGTTCGTACAACCGTTAAATGATGGCTTTAGTGATTTTAAGTTCGTTAGCACTTCATTAACTGCAAACATTTTTCCTAACGCTTGCTTATAGGACGAACTAAACGCCGCAACGGAAACGATCACTTTTTTCATTACTTTTAAGCCCTGTTATCCTAGGGACGTTTCCCATATCAGCAAGAAACGCCCGTTTTATCGGAAGCTCCTGGTTTTAAACAGTATCGCAAAGAAGTCATAACTGACAAGCATGGCGGGTGGAAATTCTCGCAACCTGATGGTCTTGATTAAAACACCACACGGGTACCTACGTACGGGTAACATACGGGTTACATACGACTACACGGATCACCGGATCATACGGGTGCGTACAAGACGAGTAACATACGGACAGCATACAGATACATACGGGAACATACGAATACATATGAGTAACATACGGATAGATCGAATGAAGAATGATCCTCGCAGTTGTGAACGCAATTTATGCATGGCAATTTGCGTAAGAAGACTAGGAAGCCTGAAAAAATTCAGGACTTCAACCGAGAGTTTGAAACCGTGACCTCGCCATACCCGTACGATGTTCTAACCAACTAAGCTATGAAGCCACTGATGTTAGGAGCTGGTCAATTATGTGTTCATATGTTTCCGTGAAAGAGATGAATGTGATAGAAGTATATGAAAATCATAAAAGAACTGCGGAAATGAAATCAAATAAAAAATGATCCTAGCAGCTGTGAACGCAGTTTATGCAATTACGTAAAAAGCCTGATGATGTAATNAGCTGGTCAATTATGTGTTCATATGTTTCCGTGAAAGAGATGAATGTGATAGAAGTATATGAAAATCATAAAAGAACTGCGGAAATGAAATCAAATAAAAAATGATCCTAGCAGCTGTGAACGCAGTTTATGCAATTACGTAAAAAGCCTGATGATGTAATGGAGGATTTACAGTGACAAGAATAGAACAGCTTGTTCTCAAGTATAATCTGACGGGAGGGTTTTTAAGACGATTGGAAACAAACATTAAATACTGTGAAACATTGCTCCATATTATATAGATGATGCAAACAAAAACCCACACGAAATCTACATAACTCGGATCACGTGACTAAGTACAACTGACGAGTTTAAGAACTTGTAAATTAGCTTTAGGGCTCGATCGCAAACCATGTAAACCTATCCCCAACAAGTATTGGAAGAGTTCATGAACGTGTTTTTGGCTATTCACAATTGCAAAGCCAGTTCACGCCTTATTTGAAATATGAATGGAAAAAAAGAAAACAAAAAAAGACAAAAAAGAAATTTCGCACTACCTTGTGGGTAAATGATATGAATTTAATACATATGTTATAAACAAATACTCTTAACGGTTTACTTCAGTTACATTTTTCAAAATTGCTAAAACTGAAAATTGTTTACAAAAATAATAATAGTATGTTACTCTTATGCATTCGTATGTTACTTTTATGTTTCCTTATATCAACCTCGTTCTCAGGGTTTTCTCCGACCCGTCCAGTCTCTCGCTTTGCAGGGACGGGTGAGAGAGGATCCTGGGAACGAGGTCGTCCCTATGTTACTCCAAGTTACTCGTATGTATTCGCCATGTACCCGTATGTATCCGTGTGGTGCTTGAAGTCGAGATCGCAACGGGACCAGTTTTGCTGTGAAAGATTCGAACCCAAGAGTCATTTAGGTTGAATTTGATCGTCCGAGTGAACGTAGTCCTGAATAGGACTGTTGTTTTTGTTGACAGTGATTGACGTTTCGACAACCTGTGCGGTAGTCATCTTCAGAGTCAGAGATCAGTTTTGTAGCACCTACTTTTTTCAAAAGTATAAAAGTGTGGTCTTATCTTCCGCAAGGTGCTGCACAAAGTGCCTCTACACTCAACCCAGTCTCCGTCCCACACACCCAATTCAATTCGGAATATAAAGAGATGTTCCACAGTATTTCATGTTTGTTTCCAATCATCTTAAAAACCCTCCCGTCAGATTATACTTAGGAACAAGCTATTCTGTTCTAGTTACCGTAAATCCTCTATTAAGCCACCCTCTCTAACACATCCCCCCACTACTTTTCAGGGGAAGAAAGTTAATAACCCCCCTCCCCTCCCCCTTATTATTCTTCCTTAACAAATGATAGACCGTATTAATCAATCACGACTGCAAAACTTCGTGTGGACTGATCCGGGATGGTTTATTCACCAACTGGAAGCTCAGACTTGTTTTTGATCCTCGGCTGCATGACCTATTGAGCTTTTCCACTTTGAATTCTAGTTCTTTATGGAGAACTGATACCATCGTTTTTGCTAAATTAAATGTTCCCCCCACCTCCCCTCTCTCCCTCTGCCCGATCTCGTTCACCAACCCCCCCCGCACCGATTTAAAACAAAAAACCCCCCACCGGACCCATAACAGGAGTCAGGTCTTTTGCGGCGTTCCTCCGTTTCACCTTCCTGAGTCTTCGTGATATCTTTCAAATNCATCTCTTATTTTTAACAACAAAATCACTCTAGGAAGATTGACCGTGCTATTATAATATTAATGAAACGTAAAATGCTTTATAACATCTGCTCAACAGGTCGAACAGTGACCCGTAAAAAAATCCTCTGACTTTCATGGTGGAATTCGATTTCAATCGAGTTTTACAATCAGATGGGAACTTGAAGATAAAAACTTCCTCAAAATAGACATTATCTGTTTAGATGACAGTTTAAAGTATCGGATTATGGCGATTGAAACAAATGAAAACTTCACAACTTTCTCCAACAGCGTGACTTTCAGAAAGCCTCGAGGGACGGACTTGGTAACCGCTTCTGAATTGATACCAGGCTTCTGTCGGTCAAAGTGAAATGTCCCAACCCTGGGGTCGCTTCGCACGATCAAACGCCCGACAGGGGGATAGTCTCAGGCATCAAATCCCCACCCCTTGCCCGCACTCCCCCCCCGCCTCCACGGGATTTACATTGATAGGTGCATTATCCATGGAGGGAAATTTGCGTTTCAAAATCGATTGGGCTAGCATTATTATAGCATTATTATATAGTTGAAAGTAAATTTGCCGTTTTTGCTTTGTTTTACTTTGTATTTGAGGGCAATTTTCCAAGTACAAGCCCCCGGGGGCTTATATTTGGAGGGGCGATTTAAGGGAGGGTTTTTTGCGTTACCGGTTTGGGGGGCTTATATTTGGAGGGGCTTATTTTCGGAATTTTACGGTATCTACACACCCGAAAGTGCTGTTCAGAACGGTTGGTTTATTTTTGTTAAACTATCTATAATAAACAAGTTAACCGCCAACAAATATTCATAAGTTCTTTTCACGTAGTTTATTTACTTACATAATAAATATGTGGCTGATACCAGGCAGATATCGCGGCTCATACATAATAGAAATATAGTTCTCTGGTTCTTTGAAAAGTTATTTAACAAAGAATATTACTTTTTAAAAATATTTATCTCTGTCTTATCTTATCAGAATCAGGTACACGAGAGCTTCCTTTACGTCTGATAATAATTTTAATTTTTCAAAATTTACACTTAAAAATAGCATTGCGCAAAGAAAATTTCTTACAGCGTCGGTACAACCTATATACAGGGTTCGTGAACTTTTTTGTCAGGCCGGGACTTTTATTGGAGGTTTCTGGGGCTATTGTTTGGAGAGTTAATGCAGAAACGCTGAAAGCGAGAGCTTGAAATATGAAAACAGGGACAACGCGGTGATCTTGTGGCTCTATGTCAATGCACATGTGCGAGGGACAGAGCACTTACAGCATTTTTTCTGTCTGCATTTGCACTCTCTTCTTTTAAACTAACTAAAGTGTTCATAATTGATTTGTTCTTTGGTAAAATAATCAACAACTTTTACGGACCAAACACCAATTTCAAGTACTTTCAAAGCCTTAAAAGAGGCCGCTATGATTCACGGGTTTTGAAGACGTGAACGAACCCTGATATACCCTTACCGACTGTTACACCCCTACAAGGACGGACCCAAGGAGGGGTCATTGGGGTGTCGGAGTCTCAGAACCCTCCACCCCCATTTGGTGGCACTCTAAGGTTTTCAAAGGTCAATGAAAGTGCCGCCACAGCTGCTCTATAGTTTTAACTGACACAAGTGTATGGGCCCGCGAAATGTCTGCAGTATAACAGCGCACTATCACTCCATGGTCTGTTTTATCAATTGTGTCTTAACGAAATCACAACATCGAAATGACTAAACTTTTTTGAGTGGCTAATTTCGGAGGGTTAGAACTCTCCTTGGTAAAAACACTGGGTACACCCCTGTCTTAAACCGAAAATGCGGTTCGTGGAAAAGTTACTGACTTTGTTAAAACTGACATAAAAAATTGCACAGAACGTCGGAGCCCCTGGAGCTGGCGGT